AGCAGCTGGTGAGTTTAAAACCACCAACCTTTCAGTTACTGTTTGAATCATTTAAACACTACTTCATAAGGGTATCTTGTAGTAAATATATTGTTGTTATTGTTGTTAGGTGAAGTCTAATATGGTGCATAACAACTCTATGAACAACATTTCTGGACTCTGTCATCTCCTTTGCTATCCTCATCATCTCTGACATACTTGAGGCCATTGCTTGCACCCGCTTTGTCAGTTCCTCTGGTTTATGAACTTTCCAAGCATGATGTCCTTCTCCAAGGTATAACCTCTCCTTACAAAATGCCCAAAGAATGTGAAATGAAGCTTTATCATCTTTGCCTCCAAGGAGTACTTTCTGTACATTCTCTAAGACATATCTGTTTGATCTTTTGGAAGTACATGGGTTATTCAGTACTCTTTTCCAATACACAGCTCAAAGGCATCAATTCTTCCTTCATCCTTATTCATTGTCCAACTCTCAGATGCATTAGCAAGTGATTGAAAACACCATGGCCTGAATCAGACGTACCTTAGTCCTCAAACTGACATTATTCCTCCTCCATAATTTGTAGTGGTCCTTAAATGCAGATATTCCTAAGGCAGTACATCTCCTGATCTTCTGACTTGTGGTATCAAGTGTATTGGTTGTGGATTTAAGATTAATTCATTGATAGGTTCATGTTGCAAATAGGTTTCATCGAGTCTAGTGACCATGGTGACCATAGTGACCATAGTGACCCTTTGAATGAGAGATCTGAAACCAGTTCTATCCCATGCCAACTCCACACTTCCTGACACACTGGAAACCATTGTGGCAGTCACTGTGTCAATCCATGTGGTTGAGGGTCTTCCCCTTTGTTGAAACTCTGTCTTTCCAAGCATGATGTCTCTCTTCAAGAAATAGGCTCTCTAGCAATGTACCAGAAGTATGAGAGGTGAAGCTTCATCATTGTTTCCTCCAAGGAGCAGTCTGGCTGCACTTTCTCCAAGATATGTTTGTTTGTTCTTCTGGCATTCCATGGGATGTTCAGTACCACAGCTCAAAGGCAGCAATTCCTCTTCTGTCATTCTTATTCATTACCCAGCTCTCATATGCATAATGATTGGAAAGACCGTGATCTGAATCAGATGTACCTTAGTCCTCAAACTGACATTGTTCCTCAATAATTTGGAGGGGTTCCTAACTGCAGATTTTTTCCAGTGCAATATGTCTCCTGATTTCCTGACTGCTAGACCCAAGGGTAGTGATTGTGGATACAAGATGAAGTTGTTAATAGTTTCAGTATTTTCTCCATTTATCATGAGGTTTTCTGTAGGTCCAGCGGTAAGAATTTTTGTTTTCTTGACATTGAGATGCAGTTTATATTGGAGGCTGTATTCTTTCATCTTCTGCAACAAGTGTTTCAAGTTTTTCTCACGTTCAGTGAGCAAGGTTGTGTCATCTGCATAATGCAGGTTATTGATGAGTCTTCCTCTGATCTTGATGCCACATCCTTCATCGAGTCCAGCTTCTCGAAGAATTTGCTCAGCATACAGATTGAATAGGTATTTAGCGAGAATACAACCTTGATACACTCCTTTCTTGATTGTAAGCCATGTAGTGTTCCCTTGTTCTGTTCAAGCAACAGCCTCTTGCCCTAGGCTTATAGGTTTTATATGAGCACATTCTCCGTGATTCTCAGTTTTCTCAATGTTAGCCATGAAACTAGAAATTGTGACTGTTGCAAATATACATGGGATAAAATGAGGGTAAAAAATTAGTCTCATAATTGTGGCCTCTATTGAATGTATTTGTTAATTTTGTGTCTGATTGCAAAATGAGACGAAATTGAGGGAGAGAGGAGATCTGTTTTGTTTCCAAAGTAAATGATATCACTATGAATGAATGTTGATGAAAAGAAATGAGTTTTGAATCAGGGAAGCTGTGACTTGGGGTTCCCCATGAAAACAGTGCAATATTGGGCTCAAAGACACTCTACTCATTAAAATCCACCTCATTGAATGGAAATACCAGCAGCTACTTTGTAATGTTGTTTTAAGAATTGAAGATAATGTACAAAGGATTCTGGAAAATTAAGTATTCTTTCTTAAGTTGTTATTAGTTCTGTTGTTTTGCACTTTGAGTTAAAACTGATCCATAGCTGACCCTCCAATAGGTTTGCAGTGCCAGTAAATCACACAGGAGATTGTCCATCTTTCTCCAGCAGATCAGGTGGTGGATTTGAACTGCATGCTTTTGGATTGAAAGCACAGAGACTCACCTATTTATTAGGCTACCACTGCTCCCTTTTCTGTTATATTAGAGTTTTTAAAATATTACAGTAAACTATTTTATTTAAAACTGAGTTAACATTTTGTAAAGCAGTGAATCTTATGTACATATAGTAGATACAAATGATATAATTTATCATCTAAGAATTTAATTATTACAATTTTATATGTAGGCTATACATTCTGAAAAGCTTTAAGATATTCCTAATTGGCAGTGCCTATTTCTGAAATAAATCAAATTAGAAAGAATTGTGCATTTTCTGTAGAGTTGACTAAGATACTATCAATCTCTGCACAACACATTACTCGTAAATATAACAATGAGCAAGTGAGTGAACGGCATAAATACGTATTTAAGTATTTGTGAATATAATTAGGCTATGATTACAATGTTCTATTTAGGCAAGGAAGGTCTCATCTGAAAACAAAGATGGACTTTCTAATCTGTATAAAGGGAGCTCTGTACAAAGGAGGCTTAGTGGTAAGGCTTTGAGCTGCTGACCCTGAGGCATCCAGTTCGAATACATCACAGCTGATTAATGGTAGAAAAATGGGCAATCTCTTCTCATGTGATTTTAGGCCTCCGAATACCTGCTGGAGAGTAATCTATGTGCTATTTCGAACTAGATGGCACACAGTAACAATCTGTACAAATAGCATTTTGACCTTGTTTTGAGTATGAGAATAAGACAATAGACCTTGTTTTATCAGAATTAGGGGTTTTTATAAAATTATCTCTTTTGTGATTTTAATGGAAGTTTACAGAAAATTCAGATTTTCATTCTTCATTGTTGCACATTTTAGCTCTCTCCCTCCCTTCTCCAAATTAATTTTTTTTTCAACATCCATTCATTGTTGTACAGTTACCTCCCTCTCCTTCCCCAGTTCTCCTTGCAATGTACCTCCTATTCTGGGCTGTTGGTGTATGTAAAATGTCTAATCACATATTCCTTTTAAACAGTTCTTTCATCTGTCCCAAGCAATATTAATTTTTTTTCAGTATTCATAATTTAGTTCCTTTTTTTCTTAGTTTCTCCTCAACCACCATGGTGTTATGTATTATTTGTCCTTTTGTGACAGATATTTAACTCAGCACAATGTCCTTGAGGGTCACTTGTGTTGTGTAATATTTTTAATTCTTTGCTTTTCAATGCTGTGTAGTATTCCATGGTGTAAATATACCATAGTGTTTCTGCCCACTCATTTGTTAATGTACTGTTGGGTTGCTTCCACCTGTTTGCTACTGTGAGTAACACAGCAATAAACATGGGTGTGCATATATCTGTTTGGGTGTCAGTGCTGGTTCCTTTAGGGTGTATTCAAGAGAGTGACATAATGGGAAATAGGATTTATTTCACGAATGAGATCACCTAATGTAGAAAGTGTGTATGCAAGAGAGAACAAAGCTTCTGAGCATGAATAGTGTAGGTGTCCTGATTTACCCATGAAAAAATTAAATTATCTGAGTACAACCTAAAAAGAATTTTTAAGGTACTTTTGAGTATTTACTTTATGTGGAACTGAGAAACAATTAATTCTAATTGATCAGGTTCATTCTAAATTTATTCTATAGGACGCATTAAATTGTAAGTCATTCAAAACAAATAGAAAACAATCAAAAAATATTTTCAACTGAAATGTGGAGTATTATTTGACAGCTGGATAAACCCTTCACAAGGATTTGTCCAAGAGTAGTTTTCTTGGAAATAAAGCTACTCAACTTGGATTGTTCTAATACATTACCTCCTTTAAAGAAATCAGTGTTGAGTTTTTTCCCCTTGGTTTTTTATTTCCTAGGTCTCAAGTTCCTTGTGAATATTCTATCGTCTTTCTTTCCATCTCTAACTAGACTTTGTGAGTCAGAACCTGAAAATTAGTTATCTCTCTCCTCATATCTAGAATGTGGAACTTAAAAAATAATTCTCATTTAATGTGAACTAAATAAGTCAACTTATTATGTTAATTTAATCTGATAAAATAAGCCATTTCCCCCTAAATGCTAAATAGTGTTACTCTTATTGAACAAAAAAATGAAGTGTAAAAGACCTGCACATTAGAACCAATCAATCATTTCAGTTTGTTGCATTTGGTTTTATTTTACATTAATTTGAGACAGCAGGAAAACAAACTATAAAGTGACTATTTCAAAGGTATTAAGTCTACTAACTATGTTAGCAGCTCACGTTATCTTTGCCTAATTAATTACACAAATACATAACAAGTGATATAATTTCTGACTCAAGCTTCAGAAGAGAAATGATTCATTATCTGTAAGTTCTATTGTCATTTACTCTGTGTTGATATGTGACTCTGGTCATGTCAGTTAGATTTTTATTTCCTCCTTTGGCAAATGTTGATAACATACCTTTTTTTACTACCCCAGAGGTTTGAACTGATAAGTTCTTGTATGGTACTTAGCAGATGATAAGAACTAAATTTTCAAATTTATTGATATTTCTCTATTTCTTAGGTGCTAGGAATTCCAGTCCCTTTATTAGTGATTATGAAGTATAATAAAGTCACTAACTACTAGGTGATATAAAGGTAGACTACATGTGGTTAGACTAAGAAGTAAAAGGGGGAAAAAATCATTTCCAGCCCAATTCTAACAGTTATTCCAGAAACCCTGTTTTGGCCTCGGATGGCCTTCTCCAGCCACCGCCCTTCCCCAGCCTGGCTGTCAAGCACACAATCACGTCTTTCTGTTTGCTCCTGTCCTTGTTCATGCTCACCAGGTACAAAGACAGGAGACTGGCCCAGCACAAGTCGGAAATAGAGTGTTTCACCCCCAAAGGGAGTATGGGGAATGGTGGGAGAGCAACAATGAGCAGGTAAGCAAACCGTGAGTGGCCAAAGGTGGTGTGAAGTTAATGTATGTGAGCTAGTGGAACAGGCGGCTCCCTGGTCCAGGCCCTCACAAACCTGTACATTCTGTACAGTATGTCCAACCTGGGCCACCACTGGTTTTCTCTGTGTGTGTGGTTTGCAAACCCATGCCATTCTCTTGTGAAGTGATGGGAGCCTCCTGTCCCAAATGCTGCTGTTTTTCCCAGGGCCGTGCGCTTTGCATGCCTGAAGCCTTATCTCTCAGTCAGTTCTCTGTTGGGTTGGTTTCCACTTATTGGTGAAATGGTTGTGGAGTTTGCAAAGTGGAAGAGTCTGGAGGAAATTCACAGGACTAGTGTACCATTTAATAAAATCAAAGGCCTAGAACTGGTTTTGAGGGAAGGACTGCAATTGAGGGAAATCCCAGTTCCTGACCCTGGAGAAGCCTGGGAATTAATCTTACTTCATCGTTTGAACATAGTATCATCTCACAGTCAAGGGCAAATGCTTTACAAACTGAACATAGTATCATCTCACAGTCAAGGGCAAATGCTTTACAAACTAGTGGATTGTAGAGACAGTGTTTGAACCGAAGTGAAGACAGCTAATCCTCCTCTAGCTTTGCAGCTCCTCTACTTCTTCCTGTCTGGTCTGAATACTCTGTTGCTGTGCTGTGCATGTCTCTTCATGCTAGGTAACACCTATGAGGTTATATGTAGTAAACTGGTGTGTTTGGAGCTATAAGCATCAGCTGAACTGTGCTGCATGAAATGAGTGTGCTTTATTGCATGGGACTGAGTTTCAACAAAAGGACTATGGAGATAAAGATTGTCAAGGCTGGCATTAAAGCTGTTCCAGAACCCTGAAGGAGACTTGAGTTGAATGATCACCAAGCGTGAGCTAACTCCACCTCTAATGTGTTGTGACATTCATCAAACCTTTTCTGGTCTAGAGGTGTAGGAGGGAAACTCACAAATCAACCAGGAAGGTAGAAAGGTCAAGTCCAGGAGACAAAGTGGGTAAATCTATGTGCGCATGTGCTAAAGGCAAAGCTTGTGACTCAGCTCTATAGCAAGAACATAATCCTGCTACATTTTCACCTCCAGATACTGTGTTTGCTTCCTCAGGGATGGGTTCTTCTGATTGTTAATGAAATGACTCACTTTTTCTCAGGATCACTGCATTACACGACTATGGAGAAGCCATTCACATTGCAGTCTGTGAGCAGGGGTCCCAGAGCCCTGCAGTGTCCAACCTGATCATCACAGCCAAGGGCTTGGCTTTGTCCATAGATTCAAGCATTGAGAAATGTGACTTGCTATAAATATATAGGCATATAAGTGTGCTTATTGATAGCCAGTGTCCTTATATCCATCATTCCTTTATATATTTTGGATCTCAATATAACAGAAATGGGAGGAGTCTCAGTGGGTCGTTTTTAGGGATTAAATGCTTTTACAACTCCTTACCCCCTCCCACTTACTTAGATGTGTCATGGTGGCATAATTCTTTTCCTTGTAAAACAGGCACAGCATATTGAAGATGACTGGAAATTACTACATCAAAGAAAGCCTCAAAGGCTCTGTTCAGAGTCACTTCTGTTATAACTCAACTGTCTAGAATTGGAGTTCCCAAACACAGCCAACCTGGCAGCCTATCAAATGTTCTGAAGTGAAATTTTTGGGAATACAGTCCATTTTAACAGACTTCTCTGGTCATTCCAATTTTGTTAGTCCATACATCACTATTCATGCATAACAATTCAGCTGTGAATGAGATAACATGGAACTGTTCAAGGCAAACATTATATTTAAATTCTACCATCCACTGTTCTAGAGAGTGTTTCATGAATCTTGGAACACTCAGATTTTAATAACCCAGGGATTAGATTTGTCCAAAGCTGGCTTGAATGAGATGTGGAAGTGAAGGGGATAGAGGGAGAGAGTGTGGGCAAACTGGTTTAAGGAACCCTGTCTCAAACAGATCATGTTCCCTTGTGTCAGATCCAAATCTGGAAAGGCAGTCTTGAGAAGTGACTGTGCCCATCTGATAGCCTTATTTTCTCTAGAACTGAAACATACTGAGGAAAAGGAGAGACATTTTGCCTTTTATTACTTATTACATTAATATGTCCTGCTAGGGCAGAGGCAAATAGTACACTTTGTAGTAAGAATGGTTCTGCTTGAGTAACCACTTCAGCCCTGCATAGTCACCACTATTTCTATTTCCTTAAAGGAAAACTGGCCAAGAATGGGGTGGAAGACCTTCAATGTTCTCAGAAAGCTTTCCCCAAGGAAATGGAAGGAATCTAGAGATAAGTTAAGAAAGAAGTAAAATTCCCTGTTGTCTTATCTTTTCCACCTTATTTGTTCATATAGACACATACATGTTTACATACATACTGAATTTGTCCAGGAGACATAACTTTCACATCAGCATACAGGAAAAGATGCTAGAGAAGAGACAATTTCAGTGAAAATTTGTTAGGAAGGAGTTGAAGCAGTAATTAATCCCAGTTAGCTTACTCTGGAATTGAACGGAAGGACAAGGAAAGAGATAATTACAGAAAACCTTTACAGGTTTTATTATTACCAGTTGGTTTAAAAAACACAATAAAACATCTGTTTTTCTCCTCCACTCCTACTCCCTGTCCCAGATGCTTCCCAGAACCCTAGTCAGGCACCATAAGGGTCACATATTGCTACTTACTCTCACAATCTCTGGGCTTCCTCTGTGTCTACTGCAAAAGGACCAACCCTGGGGAGGGGTGATGAGAACCCTAAACCACCACAGAAAATGCACTGCAGCTCACATACCCATGTTTTCTATAGTAAAAGTGTGAAATGAACAGGATGCTATGAATTCATACCTCACTTGACTCTCCCAGATAGAAGACGCCTCTTAGGGACAGACGTTTACTTTTATGATATATGTAGTAATACCGCCAGAGAACATAATAATCTTGCTCTGGAAGACTGACAAAGATTTAGAGATACTCCCTCAGTTCCACCCTTCTCCTTCCGCCACTCAAGTTAGAAAGGAAGGAGAACATGATATGTATTCATAAAACTCTTAATTTACTGAAATATTATTTTGCTCTGTTGCCGTAAGTGAAAAGTTTCAGTTTCGCCTTCTGTTTAAATCTACTATAACTTGTTATCTTTTCAGTGAACTCAAGTGTCATAGTCCACAGGAGTTTCACTGCTGGCCAAAAGCCAGGCCTCTGGTGATTCAAAACCTCAACTATTTCCGTGGAAAGAAGATGGGCAATCTCATCCCATGGGAACTGACAGTCTTAGAAGCCCAAAAGTCAAGTGATATGAGTCATTCAGACTGGATGACAATAAGTGTTTTTAGTTTTGTCATCTTTTCATATTTTCACATATATTACTGATTGCAGGAGAATAAAGAAAACATCCAAATGGGAAAGTTCTCTAAGAACCAGAATTTCTCTAAACCTTGTTACGATGTGCATTTATATCAATAAGGTGATTCTCAGTAATGACTAAAATCTCATCAATGAATGTTATCATCAAGGTATCAGTAGGGAGCTCCCATTGATTGCAATGTGTTTTCTAATGTGTTCATGCTGCATCCCTGAAGTAGAAGCATAGACATTTTCCATTTCCAAGTCTCCTCTGAGTAAAAACTTCAACTTCCATCAAGTCAATCCTCCAACATTTACTGAGGTTATAAATCTTAACAGAAGGTCACTATCCACTTTTGCAAAAGGTGCTAGAGTTGAACTGCCTCAGGAAAAACGCTTTATTTTTTGTTAGTAATACAACATGCTATGAACATGCGATCAGAAAGGGTGGCTTTATTAAAATCAAATAGCCCTGATGGCATAGTGCCTAACATAAGGCTGCTAACCAAAATTTCGCCAGTTCAAGTTCACCAGCTGCTTCACAGGATAATGGGTAATCTCTTCCTCAGAAACTAACAGGAGGGTTACTATAAATCAGAATCAACAGATTAATAGCATCCCGGAATGCTAGAAGACAGAGGGTAGAAAAGGAGGCTTTTTATTATTGCTACTTCACTACATTTGAATGAATTGCCTAAGAGTTAGTTTTCATTTAGTAGATACAATATCTATGTTTAAATTATTATAAATGCTTAATTATGATGTAGAGATTCTATTAACAATCATTGCTGTCAAATCAAAACAAATTCACAAGTGGCTTGCACTCCAGCCAGTTTTCAGAGGCTGTAAATGCCATGGGAAGAGATTATGTGCCTTTCTCCCACAGAGCTACAGATGGATTCAAACTACCAGGGAGGCCCTTCCTTTGGGTGAACAACGAAATTGTTGGGCTACACCATCAGCTCTCTCATCTAATGGTCATTAAATGAGAAGAATCTCAGATTTGAAAGGTAGTTCTAAAATGGCACATCTCTGTTAGATTTTTCCCTTCTTTTAATTTTTTT